TGAAATAGCACTCCATTGAGGACCGGGGGCTTGAGTGTAGGAACCACTATGAAGGTTGCTGCAGGAAGTCTGTTGAACATATAGCCCATTCTCCAATGCCTGAACCGCAGAAGCCTTTGAAAGGTTGACGGAACTTTTATGAAAAATCAATAAACTTAAGCAGACTTTCCCAGCCTACCGCAGCTTCAAGAAAAACAGCCACGGCTCCCAAACTCTCAATTCCGGGGGTTCAAAAGGACATCAGGGCCCTAAACCTGAAAACTAAACCCTGTTACTTTAATTGGATGGGTAAAGCGTACTTGCCCAACATAGGGGAACCCCAATGTAGTCCCCAAATACTAGAATCCTCATTATAGGGGCCCCCAAAAGGTACCCCTAATTTCGGGAAACCCCCACATAGACATAGTTCAAATAGAGTATTCAACTGTTGGATCCGCCACACGGTTTAGGGTTTAGGGAAATGGCTGAGGTTCCCAGCCCCGAAGGCCACGAGTAGGACCTCAGGGGGACGACTCTGCCTCTGATCAATTGGGTTTTAGGGTCTTAGGGTTTTGAGGTGTTAGGTTCTTAGCGTTCTAGTGCTTTAGGGTTTTAGCGTTTTAGGGTTTAGGGTCTTGGGTTTTTTTGGTTTAGGGTCTTAGGGTGTTAAGGCTTTCGTTTTTATGGTTTTAGGCTTCGTCTCTAATGCCCATACATCCAATGTGGAGGCCTGAATAATTACCAGTACGGGAGAATCCCATGAAAAGAGCCAGGAAACTGATTTGTAGGGATGACTACCAGTGTCATAATCCTAGATTTCTTGCAAAAACATGGTACAGAGTACCTCAAACGGACAGGGAAATAACATTGGAAACTACGAGTATAAATGCGAACTTAGATGCACCTACACTGACACTAATGTACCCCGCCTCCGATACACGGCAAAAGCCCATGCCAACTCCTCTTTTACTGACGTCGCATTTTAGTTGAGGGGCAAGTGGCCTGGAATAAACTAGAAAAACAATGTAATTTCATCCTTCCGGCTGGTATCTATTCAAGAGTTGATACCAAGAATGAGACTCTGAGTACGCCCCTTGGAGGGTACTCTACTTCCTGCTTTCATGGTCCGATTTGGAGAACCTGAGGCCGCGACACAGGAAAGAATTGTCTGCACGTAGCCGCAACCTAGATAAATCCACGTGGCTTAGGGTTTGGGGCTTGACAAAACTTAGGGGTCATATGGGGATATTACCCCCATGATGGAGAATCGAATGAAAGAACATGGAAACTTAAATGGACACTGGGATTATAGGGTAGTTTATAAGGCTTTTGGGCAAATCCTACGAGTAATGGCGCAGTACGCGCAGCCTCCAATAAGCAGCAAACCTTAAATGAGTACTGGGCTTCTCCAGGCATGAAAGAGACAGTGTATGGCTGGGAACTTTGGGAAGATGGGTGACTGGGGAGGATAATCCCCCCCTAACATTAGCACCCCCACCCTCCTAATATTAGACGCTCCCAATATATTATAGTGGGAGTATTTAACATTAGGGGGGGTGGCAGGGTTGATAATAGGGGGAGCGGATTACACGCGCGTATACATCTTCCGATCAACCTGCAACCCCACGCTTCGAGCGCGGAATGAAGATGAAGCGCGTGACCACAGCGTGGACTTGACAAGGGCTATCATCCAAAGCTGCGCAGGTGAAGTGCTTGAAACCTTCGCCAGCGCAGGAAGTGATGAACACCTTGTTCTCTCGCAGATTAACTGGACACTGTCCCCCAAAAATGCCTTAACCTTCAAGGTCGAACAGTCAAAACTAGCCCCGACGAAGCGCTCGCCTCATCAAGCTCCTGTAAGCTGGAATTCATGAAGGTATAGAACCTAAAGCAGACGGTCTAAGTCGCTGGCAAGCTTGTGCGGGAACCCCACATTTTCGACCCAAAGCAAAAGCCCTGAAACCTGAACCGTACGCACACCCCTGTACTTGTCCATGGCTACAAGTAACACCACAAGCAGGAACTAGATTGCCTGAAACCATGCGAGGGCAGAACAAAATGGAAGGGAAACCCACCAAAGAGAGCTCCGAATGCTACGGGGTTAGAAACCCTAGAACCTACGTAAACCATGGAGAGAAACCCCAAGCCCTAAAGAACCCTTCTACTCAACACCTTGCCTATTTCCTTCTCCAGCCTGATATCTAGCTAGTAGGATGCGCAATCAAATGGAAGCCTGTGAAATCCAGCAATCTCTGAAGACCCAGCTGCTGAGTTCAATGGTCCGCATCAGGCTAACCTGTGAAAACCCTGAACCATAAACCAGGGCTACATCTTCCCTTTAAAGTTTCAACGTTACTCGCCCAGATACTGCGAAAGCCTAAGCTTTACCAGTCCAGAACACCAAGGGTCAAGTACCTAAATTGTTGAAGACCTCGACATCCAAGGTATGTAGAATAATGGCCAGTTTTAAGTTGGTGTTTCGGGTTTGGTTCTATCATTCCAAGTTCTTTCGGGGTCCGGGTACTTTACGTCCGGCCGCTCTCAATAGGTGCCCACTTGGCCCCAAAGAAAGTACAGGCAATCGAATCCCAATCCAAGCACTTTTGGCCCCCACCGCAGCAGCCTTTTCGCCGGGATTTTGCCATTCGCCATGAAACGGCTTCAGGATTTAAATTTGGGGTCTACTGTTCATTGCTCCGAGTTTGGAGGCTTCGCGCTTTCAGGGCTATAAGTTCCCGGTTAGGAGCTGTGGGCTCCTGAGCCCTAAACCTTAAACCCTATATAGACTTGTGGGGCTAAGGCTGAGACAACTGTTTTGCTGAATGGCAAGAGGAGTAAAAAGGCAAGAGTGATAACCTCCAAGTCTCCATAGAGCTTCGTTTACAAAGCGGCTTATATACTCTAACTTACTACCTCTACACCCTCCAAAGCTTCCAATACTTTCTCAAGCTTCAGACTTGGGTATGAGGGGTTTAGGGTGTAAAGGGTTTAGGGTGCAGTTTCAGGTTTTCAGTTCTCGTGGTTTGGCGGCTTCTAGGGATGAAGCTGACGGGTGTTCCTTGCGTCTTCCGCTGCTGCTAGTTGTTGCGAAGGAGTTGAGGAGTTGGAGTGAGTGGGCATGTTGGGTTGGGAAGGTACTGAGCGCATGGCACATGGCCTTACGGTTAGAGTTTCCAGCTTCAGCAGAGGCAGCGGCGACAGTTGAAGTCACATAACTGCACACCACATACCGGTCAAAATTACCCCCCCCCCCCACCCCACTCAGAATCATAATTCGAGAAAGTTGAGTGACTTCTTGCATGAGCATGAAGCGGTCCTCGCGACTTATCAGGAATCACAACCTTTTTGGAAAGTCTTCGTTTCTCGAAGGCCAATCAGTTTGTGTGTCGGGGGCAGTAAATTAAATTCCCTGACATGGGTAACATCTTGGGGTTTTCCCGTGTCTTCCGCTCCAGTGAGTCATGGCCTGAGACCTTGAAACTGCTGGCATGTTCACATGCTCCTGCTACAGAATCTCATCGTATGCACACAATGCTCATTGCTGTAGGCAGAGATTCTTTGACTAACCCAGCTGTGGACTTGAATCCCATGATTGAAGGCATGCGCTTTACATGCAGTGTGTGCATGTCCGTGTGCGTGTCAATGTACAGATATTATGGATATGCAATAACTGATAGTTCTTTATATAATCCCCTATATAACACTCTTTAAGGAGTTTAGACTACAGCTCATGTTACATTTTGTACTTACCCCACCTTAGACATGTGCACGATGTCAGATGCCATGCAGCTGTGCAGCGAAAGCATCGACGCAGCTTGTAGACATCCAGGGGTTTAGGGTTTAGGGGTTTAGGGTTTAGGGTTTTCTGCGCTCCAGGCACGCGATGAATTCCGCTTCGACCTATCTAACAGAGTTCAGGACTGTAACGCGGCACTCTGCAAATCAAGAGGTCCAAGTGGATACACCACTGTAAACTCCAAGTAGCTTACTTGTTCGGAAGTGACGTAAGTGCCTTGGGCCCACGACGTAACATGTACAGATCCAACCTTTAACAAGACCTGAGCTCCAGAATGATGCGGGACATTATCTGCACTGGACAGGGTCTCTTCATCTAGTTCTTATGTAGGGTACTAAGAAGACCAGGTAACCATGGGAAACTGCTGCCATCGTAATGAAGCAAGACATCTTGAAGAGACAGCCATCCTGTGTAAGACATTACCAGAAGGTGAGACACAAGCGACAGCGGCCTTCACAAGAAAGGGCGGACCTGAAACATCACTCACGAGCTTTGGAGATTCACGCATTGCTCGACGTGCCATACTGCAAATGTGGACGTGCATTTGTGTGTACGTGTGCGTGGATGTGCGAGTAGTTGGGATTCGGTTTTTGTTCGTATCCCCGCCCACCAACCTCAGCCACAGGCACAGGGGGCATGCGGGCGGGCGGGCGAAGGTTGGTTCTCTCTCCTTCTTTCCCGTTCCCGGAATTCTGAAAAGCTTTGTATAATTTGTTTGTTGACTTCCTCTTCTAAACAACTTCTTTACATCTCTATCACCTACCACATTAACTTTGCCCAGTTGCAAGCCCAACCCCACCACTATGGGCGCCGTAGGGGGGGGTGAGGGGGGTCGCAGGCCCCGCCAGCGCGCAACCACATATGTATATGTCTCTAGATATAAACATGGAAATTATATATATATATACAGATATATGTATACACATGACATGTATATTACATCTAGAGCGACATTCTGTGGAGAGGAGGGAGAGCGAGAGAGAGAGAGAGCGAGACCCTGGTTTCAGTTGAAACAGGTTCCGGTAGAAGCGTGAACTGCATTACACAACTCTCATAGAGTGGCTGCACCAAAATCGTGAAAATGCTGCACGTGTTTACAGAAGGAGAACCTCAACCCTCTTAATCGGTGGAGGAATGTTGCGCGGGTGTTATGACATCACTGACCCTGGACCTGAAGCCACTAAGCTGAGCAACCGCACCCGCCTGCGTTGCGGAGGGCGTCCTCCTAGGGGTGTGGTGGCGGCAGCTGAGCTCGACGGCGCAGCCGGCTAACCTCAGCTCTTGGAGTATACCAAGGTTTAGAAAGAGCCGGCTTCCGCGGACACACATGCTACAATGCTTTCAAGGGCTTGCAGATAATTCCCAGGACGTGGTCAGAAGGGCCCTGAAGGCGAACACTATTGGCTTGGCTGGTTTCGCATCGTTTCCTCCTGGTTGTTGTGTGGCCGTTGTTGCTGTCGTCTTGCCGTTGCTGCTGTTGCTGCCACTGCCGCCGCAGCCGCCGCCGCCGCCGCCGCTGCTGCTGCTGCCAGCAGCGGCGGAGATGGTGTTGATACTGGCGGTAGCACGGTGGCAGTGGCAGTGGCGGTGGTGGCTGTGGCGGTGGTATACTGCTTACAGAGAACAGGGTCGACAGCCATGACTCCAATCTCAGCTTCATTTGAAGGCTCCTCAGTAAGCGCTAGCGCTTGTTGTATGGGCATTCTGTAAGTCTGGAGACGTAAAGTGATCGCTGCTTTGAATTCCTAGGCTCCAAAACGGTGCCCGTCATTATTAAACTCATTATTCCAGTCTCCGCCAACCTCATCAGCCTAAAGCTCGGAAAGCAAACTAGGAAAGCTGCAGGGGTTTAACAAGGTCCTGCTTCTACCTCAGACGACACTTTGGGCCATACTCACTCATACTGCAACCCTAAACCCTAAACCTCACTCATACTGCAAATGGTATAGCCCAAAGGCACACAAGGCAGACCCCAGATGCAGCTTCGCTCTTTAAAGACCCAAAGGTTGGTATATGATGGTATATTATGATATATCACGTTACATTACGGTATATTTATGGTATGTTTCAGTATATTTAAATATGAAAATGCCTAGCATCATCTTGATTCAAGTCCATCCAGGCATCATTCATCTGAAAACTTTTAGGGTTGTTCGCAAAAATTTGGCCCCTTCTGTTTATAGGTTGAATTACGGCACCTAATCTCTATGGGTGCTACCCTTTGAGCAAACGACCCTTGGACAACATTCTCCTGGCCTGGCTGGGGATCGGCTGCTCAAGTAGTTCCTGGCAGCTTTCCGGTAGAGGTGAGGGGTCATATGGAGGAATAAATGGCTCAGGACCTTGGTGTTTAAAGGGGCTCCAACTGACCCAGAAGCTAAACTTGGATTCTGTGAAGGACAGGGTCTTTGGGGTTGGGTTGAAGGTCTGCATAACTTTACGTTAGACACGGTTTGTCATGGGCTTGTGAAATCCTAATCCTGCCTAAAAGGCGGGCGGCTAGGGGGAGTTGGAGGTAGAAGTTGCGTACAGGTATGTGTTTGTCAGGGGGGGGGATCTGGGGGGGTATCAGGGGGAGAGGACTATTAACAGCTAGTTTCTGGGATTGTCGGTTGCTACACGAATTAGCCCTGAATAAGCTAAGACTCTATGAGTCTGTACTCTCCTCAGACCCATAATAAAAATTCCATGTTCAAGATTCTTTAGGGACTTTCTATAATAACAAATTACAAATAATTCCTAAGGAGACTTCATGAGCATGGGCCCCCATTGTTCATGAAGAGGGCTGCATTGTGAGCACATCGACCGGATTAAAGAATCCGTGAAGAAACCATTCTCGAACCGTGTCTCCCCCGAACCTGGCTCCCATTCCTGAACGCTAAGCAAGAACTCCTTGAAGGTTATACAGGGGTAATATAGGGATAACGGAAAAGAACATGGAAACTACTGTAGTATATTAGGGTTATAACCTGACTTCCTCCACCTTGGCCCCCCGAGTCAAGCCCTCATTTGAACCTCGTGGGTGCTCAATGAACGCTTCTGACTCTCCTTAGAGGTGTGAACATCGAGCGGCGCTCAGATTCACTAGGGGTGCGGTTAACGATGTACGGGCTGAGCTTTGGTGTTTTTAATCCGCAGCGGTTGGGTGAGTGTGGCTTTGTCAGTTTGGCTAGGTCTAGGTGTCCTGGGTATCAGAACTATGCTCACATGCTAGGATTCTTCAAGCAAAGACTCAGTCCCTTTGATTGGGCTTCTGACTGGGTCTAGGGCTTAATTCCTGAATTGAATTCCTTAAAGCCCTGGCGTGGTGACACTACCAGGTCTAGGCACAAGACGCACCACAAGCCTAGTGTTGCCATGACTACGGCATGGAAAAACTTTCTTGCTGCCATTATCTCAGTAAGAAAGGCATGTTAAAGGTTTCCCAAAATTAGGGGTACCTTTAAAGGGGTATATAGGGATTATATTGGGGGTATATAGAAGATATAGGAATACTGGAAAATAAAATGGAAACTAGTATCTTGAGACCTGCTATGCTGAACGCCATCATTGCTCTCATGTGATCGTGTTGATGGTGCTCCCCGGGTGCATGTTGACACGGGATTATTTAGCCATACATCACGCTGAGCATGCCACCGCCAATGAGCGTATGCACCGCTGTGCAACCACATCACCTTACGTATACGCCACCCTACACCCTAAACTCTAAACCCATATGAAGTTTGGGTACGGACCAACGCAGCCTCAATTCTGGTCCTAACCGCACAGCACAGTAGCATCGGGATACCTTTCTCTAGCAATCATCTGTAGGGTGTTCAAAGCTGTGTGCGCAGGAAGGCCGACCCGGTTTCGGTATTCAGTACACTGCAGGATTTCGTACAGTCCAGCTATAAACCTGGCCGCTCGAAAACAACAACTATCTTTTTCAGCTGTACATGTCCCTGCTGGGGGCTGCTGCTGTGTCATTATGTCTGACCCCAGCTGCAAGTTCGAAGACCCCACGCTGGGACTGAAGCGAAGTAGCCGCCAATACCATCACGAATCTCCACGATCTACCAGCACGGCATGTTAGGATGAGGATACAGTCCCCCTAAGTAGATGGAATATGGGGTATATGGGGATCGTACTATAGAATATGGGTGTTTGGGGATCTTACTATAATATACTCAAAGCCATATTCTATCTACTTAAGGGGGACTATAGGGCTTTCTATGCTTCTTCATCATAAGGAGCTCCAGGTTTGAATTATATCATACTGCGTTGGCTGTTGCACTTAGGAGCTTCAAGTGTAGGGTCCGCAAACGGTCAGCCTTGGTTCTGCTTTAGCATCCTTGGTTTAGCGCCGTAACTGTCAGAATTCGCGCGAGATTGTTGCAACAGTCTACCTATAGCGTAAACACAAGAGTCAGGAATCCCTCAACTCTATAAACTCTGAACCCAAAACTTGGTAGCTTCGGGTTGGGCACTTGAAGCATCAGCCTGCTTGTCTCCACCCCTTAGTGTTAAAATCTTTTCGGGGTGTTGGGTTGGCTTTCAGGGATTCCCAAAATTAGGAGTCGATATCGAGGTCCCCTTATCTCGGGAAGCTACTTGCTGAGGATGTAAGAATTCTAGGCCGCTGTACGGCTTGCATGCTCTTGTGCTGCTGTTCTGTTGGGAATCGGAGTATGTACTGTTTGCTTGGGGGATGGGATTGCGTTTGGACTGCAACTTACCGTCCTGAGCACATCAAGCCTTATAAGCTGAAACCACAAGAGAGCTTGGCCCTAAACCCTATAGCGTTAGGACTACAAATCCTGAAGCCCTAAAACCTGAATCCCTAGACCCTATACCCTACGAACAATCTCCTCAACACCATACCGGGCCTTAGTTCCTCGCTCATCCAGGTCAGGAACCCGACTGAGAGTAGAGGAGATCCTCTTGGGCTCAGGGGATTTTAGGGTTCAGGTTTTGGAGGGTTCAGGGTTTGGGGTTTAAAGGTTCAGGGTTTAGGGTTCAGGGTTTGGGGCTTAGGGTCTGTTTTGGGATTCTTGAGTTTCCAATCTACAGCTCCAGGTTTGGCCCATAACGTTCGGAGCGTAGGGTTTGCACGTTAGAGTTTGTAATCGAGGGCTTGGAACTTAGGGTTTGGTGCTCAAGGGTTTGGAGTCGGGGGTACCCTTTAAAGGAGGTCATATAGGGGTTATATAGCGGTATATAAGGATTTTATAGGGTTTAGGGCTTAGGTTGGAAACTAAGGGGCTTCCAGAAATTGTAACGTTTAGGGGGTTTGGAGTTGGAAATTTCTATTCGGATTGCAGGGTTTTGGAATTTTCGGGAGATGCTTCCTGAATATTGCAATGCTTAAGGACAACCATCAATGCATGCAACTGCAGGAGGGCATATGAGCGGAGATAGTCCCTAAATTATGACATCATATGCAGTAAAAAAAAAAAAGGCGCTTTGGCCCTTAGCCCTAAACCATCACGCACTAAACTGCAACCACATAATTCAGAAAAAACACCCTAAACCCCAAGCCCTATTATGTTGGGCTGCCATTAATAAAGTGGGTGAGAATAGTTCATTGTTGCCGAGCCAGAAAAAGCCCGGAAGACTATGTTTGCTTTCTAACAAGTTCGGAGCCCGAAAAAGTCTAAACAAGTTCCGGCGACAATAATAAAGGGTGACAATAACAATACAACATTGTCCGCCCGAAACATTCCTAATTTCAGGTTTCTTCAGCAAAATGGTAGTTAGCTTTAATTGAATGCTTGCAGGGATACGCTTTACTATACTTGTACTAGTACCTGTACTACTTAGTACGACCCCTGTCCCCGATGGTTCATTATTACGACCCCCCCCTCCATAAACCAACATTGCAAAACAGGGGAGTAATGGCGCCCTAACATTAAACCCTCAAGCCCTATAAACCCTCACGCCCTAAACCCTCAAGACCTAAACCCTCAAGCCCTAAACAGCAATCACCCTAAACCCCTAAATCCTAGACCTTCCCAGGCCTCTGGAAGGTCTTCCGTGCGAATGACGCCTCTGTACACCTTGGCGTTAAGGTTGTAGGAGTTTAGGTTTGAGAGGCTTTAGGATATAAGGTTTAGATTTTAAGGTTTAGGGTTTATGGTTGGGCTGACGGGAATTGACCTGGGGTTTGGATTGAATTACTGTTCCCAAATGAGGATATTGTATTCTACTGAGTTTAGGGAACCCGTGCTTACATGATGAAATGGGAGAACGGGCCTTAAGAGGGGCCTTCCTCTTCAACTTCCAATAAGCAAAAGTAAGCACCATTTATGACTTTCGGGCTCATTATAGGGCCCATAACTTGGTATCATTTGCAAACTTCGAGCTCCAAGGATTCATCCAAATCCAAGTCGGGTCTTTGCTTTCTTTATATGACCCAGGTCCACTTGCGGGTCCCAATTCCCTGGTTCGTAGTAGTTGTATATGTGGATCCTCCGGCTCCCATGGAGCCTCTACGCACCCAATGCCTTATCTTGAGGCTGGTCACGCCTCTTCATGGTCAAGTTTCCGTTCCTTGGTTTCACTTAGATACCCTGAAGAGGGTCTATGTTCAAGCCTGTGGTCAACCATGCTTGCCCGCAACACTAGACTCCATGAGTCTTGACCTGAAATCCTGATCCTGAGATGGAAAATCCCCCGTAGGTACTAGCATAGAATGTGGAATTGCCCAATATCATAATAAGATCCCCATGAGCCCCATATTCTATCTACTTAAGGGGGAACCCTAAGCCCTTATTCCCAGCTAGCAAGAAAATCCACCCAAGCCCTTGGCCTAAGATCCGGCAATGATGTTGAGGCAGTCAAGGGCTGGCCTGCTCAACAAAAAGAAGTATACATATTGTTGGTTGGAGTTGCTAGTACTACAACGCACTACGTACTTTTTTGCTTATTTTTATCACTTTGCAATTTTATGCTTGGTTTTGGGTAATTTTAACATTGCTACAATTGTTATTATTGATGTTTTGGAGTTCTCAACACACGGTTGAAGGCTTCGGGCCAAGGTTCAGGGTAGAAGTTTTTAGGGCTTAGGGCATGCGGTATGCAGGGTATAGGGTTTGTGGTTGAGGGTTTTGGGCTTGCGCGCTTGGGCACTTTGGGGCTTAGGTGTTTAGGGCGGGTTGATCGGCTCAGCAAGTATCCGCGTCTTGGGTGGCTCACCGGTCAGACGCTACACATCACTATTCATGGAAAGTTAGGTGTCCACGCGGAAAGGCAAGCATGTGTTGATAACTGCAGACTGCGGATGGGTGAGCATCGCTTCATGCTTGATGACTAGTGAAGTTAGCGCGACTCAAAGTAATGCTCTTTGCCAGCATCCTACTCGCTTTCCGAAAGCGACAATAATGATAGCTATTGGCCAGGTCAAAACGAGTTGCTGATGCCTGTTCCAGCTTTACACGCGCAGATTTCCTGCTGGGGTTTGAATACGCCACAAGTGTTTGCTGGAAGTCGTTGTGGAAACATCCTACTTGTTAGTCAGGAAGCTACACGTGCATCAGAGCGTTTGACTTTCCATGGCTTGTAGTCAAAAGGCCACAAAGTACAGACCTCCGAAATTCCAACAACAGCAGCCTTTGGACCTAATGTTTTAAAGAAAAAATTAGGGTTTAGGGTTTAGGTCTTTGGGAGGTCTAGTTAAGTAATGATGGTTGATACAAGAGTTGCTCTGTAGTTGTTGGTGTTACAAGGTTCTGGGATCATGGACTTGGCTACTTGGAGGTTCAGGACCATTGTAACATATTGTAACTATGTCCCCTTCATTGATAGACTCTAGGGCCCAATGTAGGTATTTAGTGTATACTCGGATCCCTGTATAACTACCCAGAACTTCGTAGCATATGGCTTTGGTTTATGGCAATCTGTGTTTGGGGTCGGAGCTTCGGCTCTCCTCGTTTGGTGGGGGCTAGTCCCTGCTGTGAGTCGCTAGAATGAGGATTTTACTGCTTTGGAGTCCATATTGGGGCCCCCGTTTATGGAAAGGACCATAGTGAGATCTAGTTCCTGGCTTTGGGGCTTTGGGTTGCAAACGGCTCCAAAACCTAAATGATCATCAGATAGCCCCACCCACCTGCGCACCTAATGATGAATGAGCCACAATATGAGCCATAGTCCAAGCTGCTAGTATCCCCCTCAATGACCCCTATAGTAGTCCCCTATATATCCCCCCCCTTTCAGGAATTATTCGCTATGGCTCATATGCTACCACTACCGTACGCCCTATTGCAGGAGTTTCTGGGAGTTAAGGTTTATGTGTATAGGCTCCTCAGAGATGTTCATGTGAGCCGGATGCAACAAGCTAGATTCAGAAGGACGTGCTTCACATCGTCTACAGTGGCATTCTAGTATTCGTGTTGTGTTGTTTTTCTTTACGTTGCGAGCTTTAGGGCCTTTCGCAAAGAGGCCACTGTGACTCCTTGCCACTGAGGCTGCTAGCCGGCACAGGTAACCGATCAATGGATGTCAAAAGCGTTGCGGGAAAAACTTGAAAGATCTGTGGTTGCACCCGCATTCCTTTCCAAACCGCAATCTTTTCCAAATATCCTGGGTTACATTTGGCAGGTTGCTACAAGTTTCACATAAAGTTTCCAAGATCCTGCTTGGACTGAGCAAAATGCAAAACTCCAGAACGGGCTACACAGTGTCCTGAATGATTGCAGCTGCAAAGCTGTTGCGCCGGTTTAGGGTTTAGGGTTGCCGAATCCATGAGTAGCTTGAGGGGTACGAGCTGTTGCGCGCGACCCTGTAACAAATACCGTCGGCGATTAAAGGGAACCATAGCTGAATGCAGACTGAAGGCCTAAGCAGTTCCCAAAATGAATCAGTGCCCCCTTGAAGGTCTCCTGGAAACCATAACCCCTTTATAACCCCCATATATACCCTATATAACCCGCATGTATGCCCTATAGAACCCCTTTGTGAGCATTTTTTCAAATGTTCTGGCAACGACCGGCGCTCAGTGCCGTCACCGCTGCTACGGCCTGCCAGTGATTGAGTTCCGGCGGTAAGCATTACCTTCCAAAGGGGTCCAAGGACCCAAATTATAGGGGATATAAAACGAAATATGGGGATTATATAAGGGTCCAAGGACCCAAATAATAGGGCTTTAGATCCCCAACTACTACAATATTAATGGTATTTGGGCCCTAAAGCCCTATTATTTGGGTCCTTGGACCCTTAGGTGGCCGATGAATCCTAAGTTGGTGGGGGCGTGGGGATGCAGATTTGGTGTGCATAATATCTTGTTACACCACTGGCGGCAGTGAAGTATACTACAATACTCGCCTTTCTACCACGTTTAAGCTTGCTACGGCAATCAGTTTTGGCCTAAAGGCAGGCTTTCAGGTTTAGGGTTGAGGGCTTCAGGAACGCCAGTGACCTAAGCTGGCTCATGATATTTACCGCTGGCCAGCCCTGACGATGCGCTGTCATTATTCATTAGGAGTAGACTCAGTTTCCATTACCGTATGGTTCTAGATACATTGCAATGTAACTATACATTCCCTAAGAGAGGTCATGCTGCGAACTGAGCTTTTTCTACCGGACTTCTGCACATCTTGGCAAATCTTCCAACAATCCCTGTCTGGAGCTGCTGCGGTAATGGTATGTAATTGCCAATGTATGTTGTTTTGAGGTCTATGTGAGGTATAGAAATACAAGGAATCTCACAAACATTGCAGTTACTTTAACATTCTATTCTACAGCAAGCATTCTTTTTAATCTGCGTGCTACAGAGGCCTCGAGCGATCGTCACATGTGACTAAGCTGCCTCAGTACCCTCACTAAAAGTTCAACCTTCTGCACTAACGTGGTTGTTTCGAGCTCCGGAAATCAGAGCTCCTTGACGCAACGAACAAAACTGTCAAGTAAATCCGGCCAAAGGAAATTGCTGTGCTACATGCGCGGACTTAACGGCCGAGATCAGCAACCGATGCAATTCATGCTTGGCCCCTTCTTCTTCATCAGCAACAGGTACATATCCCACAAATGTTCACGATAGAAGGCTCCACTTGTGCCATGGCAGCGCAGAGTATACCTGGAATTCATTGCGTAACAACTTCGTACTAGGAACAGCACAGGTGTAGTTAGCAAGGATACGCCATGAAACTCCTACCTAGATTCTCCAGCAGGTGGCCTTGCATTTAAGCGGCTGCTCCTTTATCCCATAGCTGATAATTTCAAAGTTTAGCATCATCCTGGAATACACAAAATAGATCATTGCAATGCTCATTGAAATGACCCCACCCTAAATCCTAAACCCTTAACCCTAAAATCACAAACCCCAACCCTAAAATCCTAAACCCTAAACCCTTACATGGGACAGGTGAACCCCACCTGAACCCGAGCTTGAGTTTAGCAGTTCGGCGACTGAAGTGCATAGCAAGGCCCAAAAGCCTAGGCTTCAGGATTTCAGGCTTATGGCCCAGTAGAACAATTAGGACAGGAGCCTAAGAAGGAACCTAATTGCAAATAGGAAGCCCAGGGTTTCTTAATGGTCTATCCTATGTGGGGACGCCCTTGGGAATGTCCCTGATTGAGACTGAGCCTCTCACTACTGCTATGGAAATATCACTTCTAGTTAATTGCAGTGGCTAGGTTAGAGTCTCTGAGCAGATTGACATGTCTGCATGTCATAGCAACGGTAATGCCAAAGTACCCACAAAAAGGTTGAGGTAGGAAAAGCCTTCAAAGTAGCTTGCGACTTAAAGCTCAATGTTTGGGTACCTGTGGCGGGTCCCACACTTTTGCTGGCATATTAACATCGATCCCAGACAGGCACGACCTCCACTCAAAGAAACCGATAATTCTTCAAAACACGCAGCAATTAGGAGGTTGCCCTCCCCCAAGCCAACAGCAGAAACTTATATAGGCCCCTTATAAAAGGACACGAATCTTCCTAAGGCCGCTTGTGGGTTTCCATGCTAGTTGGGAAGAGGGTAGGGAGCTTCGAACATAACATGCTTCTCCTCTATGACAGGAAACAACCTGCAATCCTAACTTAGGCTTAAGAGACCAAAGCCTGCCTATGAACAGATCTGCCCTGTTGAGGGTTAGGGCTGCGTACGTTCATGATGCAGCCCAGCACTGAAATCCAACACAAAGCCCGAGCCGACGAAAAGTGCAGCAAATAGTTTGGGTGAACCCTGCACCGTGTGGCCTAAACCCTACAACCTAAACCCCCAACCCCTAAACTCTAAACCCCTAAACCACTAAACCCTAAACCCCTAAACTCTAAACCCTAAGTAACCACAAGCATGATACCCATGTTGAAGCCCCGAATCTGAAGCGGCTCTACACTCGGGACCCCGAAAGCATCGTGCACATATTCTACTGCAAGCCCTATAGACTGGACACCTAAACTTCTAGACATTGCCAAGGGGCACAGAGAGCACTAAGTACAAAGCGCATCCGCCTCACATCCGAGAAGTGCTATAAAGAAAAAAAAACATGAGCCTCCCGTGGTGAGGACCCCAACACAGACTGACATAAGGCCCCTGCAGATCTTCACTACTTCACAGGAGCTCATGGGATGATCCAACGTTTAGGACCACTCACAATTATTGCCAGTATCGTAAAGGAAGAACTGTATGGAAAATGGAATGGACAATTAATTGGAAACTGGGATTAAATAGGGGATGACAGAAAACGATATTCCCATGTGTTTGCTGGACATGGGTTCCTATTAAGGGATTTTTTGGGGACCAGACGAAACTACCAAAGGAATCCTCGTGAGCCTATTCTTGAAAGTAGCTCGTATGGGTGCAGGGCACCGAACAAGACCTGATTTGTAGGAACCAGCGCACAATGCCAAAAT